AAAGGTGAGCTGAGTGGGGAGGGGGGGAGGGAGGGGGGAGAAGGTCACATCAGTTGGTGTGCCGCCGGGACTAGTCACCGGCGTCTTGGCAGCACTCGTGTTGGACAGGGGTAACTAGCACGATTTGGGAAAAAACATGGATAGTATACAATCAACAGAGATGTAAACAAATGAAGAGTTCAATTTGTGGTATGTAAGTGATGAATTCTTACTCATTTCACTGACTAAAAAAGATGTCAGGAAAAATATAAAAAGCAATGATTTGACAGAAACACAATTTTCTGTCTTTTCCCTGCAATGGGAAGTAAACAGCTATCCACAACCTTGTCGTCCATTTCGCTTCAGCACGTCGCGTACAGTCACTATACTCAGGAAATATTTACGCATTTCATTACTATTCGCAATTGGTAAACAGTTGCTCAAGATCGCAACTACAAAAAAAAGGAGCAGAATATATGGTTCTAAAAGAAGTAAAAGTTGCCCAACTAAAGAAGTGTGCATGATCATTTTTTTCATCTCATTGATATCTTTAGAACATATATCTGAATAAGTATAAAGTTTTAAAATCAATGTATTCCTTTAAATGTCCAGGAATGATTACATATATACATATAATTTATATACTTGGTCAAGAACAGAAAAAAATTCACTCAATTTCAAGTGTAAATAGCTAAGATACAAAAGATGGTCTTTTGTGCACCTTGTTGTCAATTCACGCATGACTTCCTTTTTAAAAATTCACAGCGGATTAGCTTTCTTCGACAAAGTATGATATAGAGCGTTTGATTGCATCAGCAGCGCCATGACGCGTTTCTTTCCCTCTGCGGACTCCTCAAAAGTTACGGAGCGCTGCTGCTGTTGGGATAGGCATGCCTCCTCTTGGTGGGGTTGTGCATACGAGTTTAACTGATGACCTTGTTTTGCCCACATGTTAAGTAGTCGGACCTCATCCGCCTGATTCCTCGATTTCGAACCTTGTATCAATGCCAGGGAAGAGCTCCGCTTTGCTCCATTCTTCCTGGAGAGGGCGAGGAAGTAGCGATACGACTGCTCCGCCATGGCGCCGGATTCGTAGTTCTTGTAGAACGCATCCGTGAGTCGCCTGGGCGGCAGGATCTCAGCCTGCGCAGGATCCATCACGGCGTTTCGCCTCGCCAGCCCGCCGGCGTAGGGGCTCGGATCAGTTGTCAGGGCAGGGCTCGGGCTTTTTTCGTCCACCAGAAGTGAATCCTGTGCGTCCCACCGTAGGCCGTCGGTTGAGGAGCGGGACCCGCCCGAGTTCGCACACCGCCCCGTCGAGGCCGTCAGCCGCCTGGCGGTTTCGATCATCGCCTCGACCAACGCGGGGTTCGGTTTGGCCTCCCCTGTGGTGGAGCAGCTTCTCCCCCGGCCTTTGAGGCTTTGCGGCTGTGAGGGGCTCCGGTTTGGCGGGGTCGTCATCGACGCGACCGACCCCAGGG